CACACACACACACACACACTCTGGTGGTTTGAGTGAAAATGGCCCCTATAGGCTTATATAGTTAAATGTTTGGTCTCCAGTTGGTGGAATTGTTTGGGAAGGACTAGGGGGTGTGGCCTGTTGGGGAGGGTGTAGCCTTATTGGAAGAAGTGTCACACTGAGGGCAGGCTTTGAGGTTTCAAAAGTGCAGCCTATTCCAGTTAGCTCTCTCTCACTTCATGCTGGTGGATTAGGTGTAAACTCTCAGCTACTGCTCCAGCACCATGCCTGCCGACCTGCTACCATGCTGTCTGCTATGGTTATCCTGTATTATTACCCTCTGAAACAATACACCTCCATTAAATGCTTCTTTATATAAATTGCCTTGGTCATTATGTCTCTTCATAATAATACGAAAGTAACTAAAACACACACACACACAAAACCAATTAAATAAATGATAAAATATTGAAAACGAATGTAATGTGAAGGAATACTAATAATACTAATAAAGCAACTTGAGTCTGGAGAGACGGTTCAGTAGTTAAGAGCATTTGCTATCTATAACTCTAGCTGCAGGGGACCTGATGCCCCCTTCTGGCCTCATTGGGTACCCACATCCATGTTCACAGATACAGACACAGAAGTAAATTAAAAGATAAAAGTCAGCCGGGCAGTGGTGGCGCAAGCCTTTACTCCCAGCACTTGGGAGGCAGAGGCAGGCGGATATCTGAGTTCGAGGCCAGCCTGGTCTACAGAGTGAGTTCCAGGGCAGCCAGGGCTACACAGAGAAACCCTCTCAAAAAAAAAAAAAAAAAAAAAAAGTCTACACCACCACTGAACCACTGACTGCTCAGCTACTTGTCATGTCTTTATACAAAGATTTACGTATTTATATCTTAAGTGTATGAGAGTGTTTTGCCTGCATGTTTATACGTGCGCTACATGCATGTAGTGGTGCCTGTGGAGACCAGAAGAGGGTATTGGATCCCCTGGTACTAGAGCTTCAGATGGCTGTTAGCTATGTGGGTACTGGGAATTAAACCTAGGCTCTCTGCAGAGAGTGCCTTTAACCACTGAGCCATCTCTCTAGTCCCCTAACTCATGAATGTCTCATACCATCTCCCTTACCACATTGTTCACAACCCCACAGACTGTCCTCTCTCACCATCAGCAAGGGTTTACCTGCCTCTAGGAAGTGCCTCTGGCTTGTGCACTACCATACAGACCACTGACAAAGGCTCATAGTCTGACACGCATTGACCAAAAGCACAAATAGAAACAAAGTAAACGCTTTAAAAAGAAAGAAAGAAATTCCAGGGCTGGGATTCCAGCGCCTCAGCTTATCAGCCTCACTGAGCTGCTCTGGTCAGCCAGGATGACCTTGGCTAAGAGCCAGATTCTCAGCATGCCCAGGGACTTGCTTTTAGTGTCCCTCCTTAGCCACCACAATGCAGGGTGCTGCTCCAGGCTGGAGAATGTAGAAGGTGGTATTATGCCTGGAAGCCATCCTGTGCCAGGAAAGGACCACGGCTCTGATGCAGCTGAGACCAAGCCCAGCCCTGGAGAGAGCTTACTCTACCAAATACAGATCCTAGCAGCGCCCTGCCTGGCCTCCTCCCGGGCTGTCTGTGCCCGAGGCATTCCACGGTACCATTGAACTGCTCGATCCCTGCCTTGAATTGGGGGCCTGGTAGTTGAGGAGAACACAGCAGGCCTGGGGTTGAGCCAGGTTTCAGACCTGAGCCTCAAGGGTCTGGCAGCAGCTACTTCCTGTCTCTGGGGATGTCTGCCCTGGGAACCCAGACACCACACTGAAAAATGAGCAGTCACACAGAGAGCTGAGGTTTCCGCCTACAGCTGTACTAGCTACCCCATGTGAGTGACAGATGCTCTCAGCCCTAAGCTGTGAGCCCACCTAACCTATCTGGCTTGGAGCAGAGATGAGATGATCCCACAGGTACTGCCCAAACTGCAGACCTGCCAGCACAATACATGAGTCTTACTGGTGTAGGCCACTAAGACTGGCTGTGCTACATGGCAATAGGTAAGTGGACTGCTGTCCTCTTCTCTTCCAATGCTTCTGGACTTAACACCTTTCCGTCTTCTTTGCTGCTTCTGCCATCTGACACGCATTAACATCCTGGTGGGCATCCTCAATTATCTTCATGGTTACAGTCTCCATCAGTAGCCTGAGAACCTGACTGCAGTGGTTAATCCCTGCCCATCCCCCACCCCCACCCCAAGGGCTTCTCTGTGTAGCCCTGGTTGTCCTGTAGACTAGCCTGGCCTTGAACTCATAGAGATCCTCCTTCCTCTGCTTCCCGAGTGCTGAAGTTAAAGGCATGCGCCATGCCATCGTGCCAGGTTTTGTGGTGGTTAATTATGCTTGTTTATTTAGTTGGAATAAAAGTATCTATGCCCAGGGCTTTAGTGAGGTACATCTTTGGGTGTGTTTGTGAATTCACTTTTGGAGAGGACTGGCTGAGTAGGAAAGGCTGCCTGCACATGGGAAATACCAATCTGTAGACTAGGTGAGGGTCATAGCTGAAGAAAAGGGGGGAAGAAAGCCAGCCGAGTATGTTTCCCTTTCTCTGCTTTCGAGTCCATGAAAATGTGGGCAGTGCTTTCCCAGACACAAAAGACTAATTCCTGTGAAGCGTGAGCCAAATGAACTCTTCAGAAACACAAGTCTTCAGGCTGAGCCCAGAGCCAAGAAACCAGAAACACACACACACACACACACACACACACACACACACACACACACACAGAGAGCTATCATTGGAAGGTCAGAGGGCAACTTAAGGAAGCTGATTTTCTTCTATGTAGGTTGCAGGGATTGAACTCAGATCCTCAGGATTGGTGGCAAGCGCCTTTACCTGCTGAGCCGTGGTGTCAGCCCCCAGCAGTGCATTTTACAAGCCCTGCAGCCAATTATGACCCATTCATAAAAGACCCACCCCACTGTAAGGCTCAGGTCAGATTCTAGACTTGATTTCAGCCCAGCCTGTTTTCCTTTCTCATAGAAACTTGTGCTGACTGAGGTTTGTACAGGTCACAGATGAGTCCCCACCAGCCCCCAGCACAGAAGGTACAGCTTTAACAAAAACGGTGCTAGGGCTAGAACCCAGGGCTGCCCAGCTCCACCCACACATTTGGTGCCCATTAGTGCATGCCAGCACTGAGCCTTGTGCCCCGGTACCATCGTTACAGATGTGGACTGACAACTGTGGATGTTAGCCTCCAGTTGAGCATTCTACCCTGCCCCCTCTGAATAATGCTTTCCTCCCCAACTTGCTTCTTGGTCATGATGTTTGTGCAGGAATAGAAACCCTGACTGAGACACCCTCCTTGCCTCTTGCCAAAAAACATTCATCTGAGTGTTCTTCACCTGGATGTCACTGGTCAGGACAGTGGTTGAATAATGTCTGAGATCACGGAAGCTGCAAAGCTTAGCTTCTCATCCCTCTCTCTCTCTCTCTCTCTCTCTTTTTTTTTTTTTTTTTGGTTTTTCGAAACAGGGTTTCTCTGTATAGCCCTGGCTGTCCTGGAACTCACTCTGTAGACCAGGCTGGCCTCGAACTCAGAAATCCACCTGCCTCTGCCTCCCAAGTGCTGGGATTAAAGGCATGTGCCACCACTGCCTGGCTTCATCCCTCTCTTCCTAGCTGATTCTCTCCTGCCCAGGGAGAGCTCTCACCTGATATCCATTGAGCACTGAGTCAGGCCTTATTCCTTGGCCTCACGTTCTGAATCTTCCTCCATCTCCTGATTTTTAAGCTGAAGGGAATGAGGTTCCGTGGGTTCAGGAATGTAGATCAGCATAGGGAAGGATTTAACATGCTAGGTGACAGTGCCACTGTGCCTGACCAGTGACGTCCAGGTGAAGAACACTTAGATGAACGTTTTTGGCAAGAGGCAAGGAGGGTGTCTCAGTCAGGGTTTGTATTCCTACACAAAACATCATGACCAAGAAGCAAGTTGGGGAGTAAAGGGTTTTTTCAGCTTACACTTCCACACTGCTCTTCATCACCAAAGGAAGTCAGGACTGGAACTCACACAGAGCAGGAACATGGAGGCAGGAGCTGATACAGAGACTATGGAGGGATGTCACTTACTGGCTTGCTTCCCCTGGCTTGCTCAACCTGCTTTCTTACAGAACCCAGGACTACCAGCCCAGGGATGGCCCCACCCACAATGGGCCCTCCCATCCTTGATCACTAATTGAGAAAATGCCTTACAGCTGGATCTCATGGAGGCATTTCCTCAAGGGAGGCTCCTTTCTCTGTGACAACTCCAGTTTGCGTCAGGTTGACACACAAAACCAGCCAGTACAGAGGACAACCACATAATGGATGGGGGTTCTACAAGATAGAAAGCCTCAGGGTACAAAACTCTCTAAGTTCTCAGACAAAACAGGGATGGGGCTTTTAATGCAAATGTCTCAGTCTCTAAGCATTAGCAAGTGTTTATCCTTCTGTTTTGTGGAGAGAAGCTCCCTTAAGGCTCTGGGACCTCCCTCAGTACTGGAACTCTGGGCGACCCGCTCCTACCTCCCAGAGGTTAGGGTCACAGGCCTATACTGGCCAGTTCACTAGTTGCTATTTTATAAACTCAGCTGCTTCTGGAGCCAGAGAAATACCAATACCACTGGATAATATTGAGGGCACAAACTGAGGGTGTGTGTGTGTGTTGCTACCTCTGTCATCCTAGAACAGTTTGCTTCAAATTCAGGCTTTCCTTAGTAGGTCCCAAATACCCTAAGAACAGACCCAGATTTTGACCCTTACTTTTAATTCTCTGAGTCTCACTCTGCCTGAGGACAGGTTTTTCTTGACACAGCTGTGCAGGGTGATGAACGATCACCTTCCAACCAGTAACCCCCTAGCCCACTCCCCGCCCCTCTTCACACTGTCTCCTCCACTCACCTGTCTGCCCAGGTGAGACTGGGTTCTCTGGTGGGTTAAAAGCGAGGAGCTGTGGGCGTCTTAGTTGCCGGTAGAGTCTTAAGCTTTGTCATGGCTACTTCTGACGTTGTGAGTCTACCCTATCTGCCTTTCTCAGAGCAACTGACTAGCTGGGGTGAAAACCATGGGGATCGGGGGTCAGCCAGAGCCAGGGCTTACTAGTCACTTTTGTTTTTTGTTTTGTTTTGTTTTTTTTCGAGACAGGGTTTCTCTGTGTAGTCCTGGCTGTCCTGGAACTCACTCTGTAGACCAGGCTGGCCTCGAACTCAGAATCTGCCTGTCTCTGCCTTCCAAGGGCTGGGATTAAAGGCGTGTGCCACCATCGCCCAGCGTGTTGTTATTTTTCAAGACAGGGTTTCTCTGTGTAGTCCTGGCTGTCCTGGGATTCACTCTCTAGACCAAGCTGGTCTGGAACTCAGAGATCTGCCTGCCTCTGTCTCCTGAGTGCTAGGGTCAAAGGCGGGTGTGCCATCACTGTTCTGCTACAGCTCACCCTTATTTCTTTCTCTGGTCAGACGAGCGAAGCTGAGGGTGAAATGCAGGAGGAGGAGGTGGTGAAAGAAAATGAGGTAGTGATGGAAAAGCCATCAGAAGCAGAGGAAAAGCCATCAGAAGCAGAGGAAAAGCCATCAGAAGCAGAGGAAAAGCCGTCAGAAGCAGAGGAAAAGCCGTCAGAAGCAACTGTGGAGGTAGTCCAAGGAGGAGAAGCCAGAGACCTTCCCGGATCCCCTAAGACTCTGAGGAGGAACTCCCACACAGAACATCCACCCCATCCACCCGATGTCCAGAGAAAGCTACACCCCCTGCAGTACAGGTAGGGAGGCCACAGAGAAACTATCCTGCTGAGAGGCCAGTCTCTGTGCCTCTCGAGCTGCCTGTGACCTTGGATCCTGCCTTCCACTCGGCGGACTTATCCTGGTGGAGGTTTAATACCTGCTCACCCTGCCTGTAGGGATAGCTGACTTCCCAAACCTTGTGGGGACTGTGTGTCCCAGATCTCACCTCCTACTTTACAAACTTGGCAGCCCAGGCACTGCGGGGCTTGGACATGTGGCGTCTTGACCCTCTATCTCCTATTCTCCAGGTGGGTTCTGTGGTTCTTCAAGAACGACCGAAGCCGGGCCTGGCAGGACAACCTGCAGCTAGTCACGAAGTTTAACACCGTGGAGGACTTCTGGGCGTGAGTGTCCGCCTTCAGGAGCTCTGAGTTGGGGGAGGGGGGGTCAAAGGCATCATAGCCTGTCACCTTCTCAGGGCCTTGTCAACATTTGCTCGGAGCTGAGGGTTGGTAGGTTCTTGGCAGGCTGTGGCCACCCACTTGTAAGCTTCTCAGGACTTAAGGAGAACCTAGAGTCTGGGAGAAGCAGGAATGAGCCCTGCTACTCCGTGGCTTTGTGGTTCTAACCAGGTTTTTTCCTCTCTAGAAACTTAGCTCAGCTACAGTGAGGATTATCAGGCTGCCACCTTAGCGTGTGTGCCAAAGACAAGCTGAGGAAGGCCACTAACCCAGGGAGGAGGCCCAGCTGCAACGCCCTAATGATGTAGACTTCACCAGGCTTTTTTAGTTCAGACAAGTTCCCAGAGAAGGAATTCCAGGTGGCTGGGCCCTTGTGTGTGTAGAGGGTGTGGGGAGGCCCTGGGAGGGAGGATGTGGATGGTTAGAAGCTAGGTCTAGAGAGGACTTGGAAAGACAGGGTCAGGTGAATCATGTGCTGTGAAGCCTTGAAACCGCTGTGTGGGGTGGGGTCTTTCCAGGATGTACAGCCATGTCAAGCTGGCCAGCAAGCTCTCTTCTGGCTGTGACTATGCTCTGTTTAAGGTAGGCTCTGCTCCAGGGACTGATTCCAGGGCTTTTCCCTCATGGATGACTGGGGCATGGGCAACTATGAATGCGTGAGTCTAGAGAGGAAAGGGCCTCAAGGATGGAGCCTAGGTTTTTGGCCTGGCTTCTAAACTAGCATGGACATCAGAACTGCACCTGTAAGGTGAGCTGGGGGGCATTCCTCATAACGTCCCGTCTCATCTTGGAGGTATCACCATCAGCACTTAGAGATTGTTCCAGGTGTCTTCCAGGCCACAAGGTTTGCAGACCACACAGCCAAGCTAGGATATCTACCCTAGCCCACAGAAATTCTGACCCAAAGGCACCTTAATCCTGTTCAGTAAAGGTGACAAGCACACAGATGAGGTTGCCAAAGGTGGCAACAGCGGGGCACGGGGGGGCAAGGGGCTTGGGGGACACAGGGCTCAGTGGTCTATGGGGTCTTGGAAGGGGTTTGTGTGGGAAGCTGAGTGGTTGGAGGTGACACCTGTTGTGAAGAGGGGAGGTAGGTAAATTAAGGCCTGGGTACAGAGCAGGCTAGGCTCTGTGCAGAGGGAGCTTGGTGTCCACTTCCCTTTTAACAAAGGGAGGCGACTGACCCAGCCCTCCCCACAGGAAGGTATCCAACCCATGTGGGAAGACAGCAGAAACAAGAGGGGCGGCCGCTGGCTGCTCAGCATCGCCAAACAACAGCGCCACCTTGAACTGGACCGTCTGTGGCTGGAGACAGTGAGTAGAGGGAGGGGAAGAGATGCAGGTGTGGGCCTTAGAAAGGCAATGGTCTCAAAGCTGCTGGGGTGGACCCTGTATCCAAGCTGGGGCACTTACCAGTCCTCTTTCCGGCCCAGTTGCTGTGTCTGCTCGGGGACAGCTTTAAGGAATACAGCAGGGAGGTGTGTGGTGCTGTCGTAAACATCCGCACCAAGGGGGACAAGATTGCCCTATGGACAAGCGAAGCAGAGGACAAAGTCGGCGTGATGCACATCGGGTGAGGATCCTCTCCCCATGGTCCTGGGGGGCTGCAAGGGCAAACCTCTGGAAGCCTTCAGACTGGCTCTCCCTTCTTCTGCACTCACTTATATAAAAGAGGTAGGAATTTAGACCCAAACTATTTTTAATGAAAGCCTTCAGGTTCACTAAGGGGTTCTACTACGGGTACTGCTCTATGAGTAAGACTGCAAAACAGGTGAGGCTGGAGCTGGAACCAGGGAGATAATCTGAACAAAAGAATAGGGCCTGGGTTATGTCTGCCATCTTACCCTGTCTTCCATACTAGGCAAATATACAAAGAGAGCCTGGGCCTCTCCACGAAGACCATCATTGGGTACCAGGCCCATGCAGACACCGCTGCCAAGAGCAACTCCTTAGCCAAGAACAAGTTTGTGGTGTGAGGCGGGCTTCAGACACTACTCACTGGGCACCTTCCTCCTGCTGTTTGATGGACAGGGAAGACTGCACTGTGGATTCTGGGGCAGGGCTTAGGAGGTGGATGGCCTGGTTCTTTACCTCTTTCTAGGAACTCGTATAAGCACCACCCCTTAGATAAGGTCTCACTTGTTGCCCGGGTTGGCCTCTTATTTATGGTCTTAAGCCATTCTCCCGATTCAGCCTACATAACTGGGATTGCAGGAATTCACCATTGTGCCTGCATTCATAATAACTTCAGCATTTTTTGGGCTGAGGCCTTGTGGCAGCTGGCCAACACTTATAAACTACTCTCGACTGCTAGCCCTGCATGTGGCTATTTGCCAAAGGCAGGGTGAAGCAAAGTCCTGGCTCAACCCTGCCAAATAAGGACAGCAGAATCCTAGGTGGCCTGAGGCAGGCTCTTCTGTCTTGGAAGAAGGGTTCTAGGCCACTTGATATTAAGGAGTTCAATTCTCTGTGAGCTTAAAGGCTTATTATGGGTTGTCCTCATCAGATCTGTAGCTTGGGTACACATCCTAAAATCTGTCCCTTCCCTAGACTTGTTGTGATTGGGTCCTATCCTCCCTCTCCTCAAGTATGGAGTAGGTTAGAGAGGAAACTCAAGCATTTGAGCATTTGTGTAAAGACAGGTGGGCACTCGGGACTGAGAATGCCCTGCATAACCTTCCCATCTAAAGACCGTCCTGTGGGTTCTGTGTCTCTCCGCCTGCTGAAGTGATGGATGGATAAACATTCACGCCATGAAGAGACTGCAGTGGTAGTTGGGCTTCACCATGGTTTTGTTAGAAGGGGCCCACTTGACGCTAATGATGCTTAAGGCCCTTTTTGTATCTGGTATAAATAAACACTTTGGAACAAACTTGGAATCTTAAGTATTTAAGATCAGGCATACCTAAACCTGGATCTGCCCCGTCCTGTTTTGCGTCAAAAGGACTCCAGTGAGTCCCAGGTACCAAGGAAACCAGAGAAAGCCCAAGATGGTATGGGACAGGGGCTACCTACCATAGGAATAGGCAAAACAGAACATGCGTGTTACGCCAGCCTGTTTGTATTCAACTCCACTGTGTGTGGATGCATGGCACTGTTCATTGGTCCCACTATCCCCAGCTGCTTATCCCTGGGGAATGGACTCTGGTTCTTGAGCCTTAGACTGGAGATCTACAGTCTTCATTCACACTTGGCTCACTTGCTTTGTCAGTTGGCTCATTGAGGACTTGGGGAGCTTACCGAGACACGACTGCATGTAGAGAAGAGATGGGGACTCCTCAGAGATGGAGGTTGCAAGGGGTTGAGTGGGGTTGGGGTGTAGCCAAAGACTGGCCCAGAGGCAGGGTCTTGGAGAGGAGTGAGGCTCCAAGGAGGTGGTCTGTGGTTCAGAACTGAGGCTGAGTAGGGCGGAGCTCCAGGACGACTGAGGCCGGTTGGAGGCGGGGTCTGGGGCGGATCAGAGGTGGGACCCGGTTTAGAGGCGGGGCTCGAGAACAGGTTGGCTAGGGCAGAGTTTTGGGCGGGTCGTGGGCGGGGCTTCAGGAGGACAGCTGCAAGATATGGGCGGAGCCTGGGAGGATTAAGCCGGGCTGGAGGCGGAGTCGTGGGTGTGGGCGGGGCTTCGTTAGGACTCAACTTGGCTGGGACGGGGCGTGGGCGGAGCTTCAAGAAGACCGAGCCATGCTGAGGCGGGGTGTGGACTGACACTGTGGGCGGGGCCGGATGAGGGCACCGCACTCCGGGTGTGGCGGTCGGAGCGCCGGGGGCGGTGCCACAGCGGGCGGGGCAGCCGGTGAGCTGTGTGGCTTTGGCCATGAAACCGCAGCCACCGGGCTAGGCCCGGGGCTGCTCCAGGCCTGGGCGGCCCGCAGAGGGCTGGGCCGGTCCCCGGCTCGGGTTCCCGGGGCGGCAGGTGGCCACTCACCATGCCCGGCAAGCACCAGCAATTCCAGGACCCTGAGGTCGGCTGCTGTGGGAAATACTTCCTGTTTGGCTTCAACATCGTCTTCTGGGTGAGTGCGGGTCCGCTTCTCGCTGTGCGCTGAGGATGGGGATTAGGGAGTCTCAGTTGCTGGTGAGGGAGACTCTTCTCAGGAGCTTACGACCGGGGACTGTCCCCCCCAGCCCCTCCACCCCAATGCCCTGTCCTCAACTACTCTGGGGAGCTACTGGGATAGCTGGGAGGCGGGACCCAGTCCCAGCAAGGGTGCGTTGGGAGTTTTTCTTTGCAGCCCCAAGTTTGGGAGGAAAAAGGGGGCGGCGTTTGCCGGAAGACTGCAGGGGCGCGGTGGTTGAGGACGAGCCTTGCCCCGCCTCCTGGCCACTCCAGCTCCCAGCGTGGTGCGGTGAGGTTTGCGAGGTTGGGTCCTAGCCCGACGCTCAGAAGCTTGTGAGCCTGGAGGGTAGGAGTGACAAAAGCCAAGGCCTCTGCCTCTGCAGGGAAAGGAGTTCCAGTTGAGAACAGGGAGCTGTCCCTTGGGAGCAGCATTCAGCATTCCGTAGCTGACCAAACAGAGGCTTCCCTCTGTGTGGCATCTGTGTCCTGGTCCTGCCAAGTCATCTTTCTCTTCTCCCTCCCCCATCCTATTGCCAAAGCGGGCCATGCATGCCCTCCTTTACACCAGGCTTTTCCAACTTACATTCAGCAAGATTCAGCATCTCTGTTCTCCACCCACAAGCTGCTGGGTTTGCCCTATGGTGGGTGTCCTTGGATTTCAGCAGTCTTCTGTTCTGAAGGGTGTGGGCAGCTACAGGGAGCGCTGGTCTGGAAGTCAAAGGGCCTGAGTGTAGTAGGCCTTGTCCAGCCAGAGGCTTTGAGCAAGCTACTTTACTCTCTGGGCCTTAGCTTTCCAGTCTGGGAGGGGCTGGTATTGGAGTTTGTCCTTGTGGGTTGTTCGATTAAATGAGAGTTTTTGTTGTTGAGACAGGGTCTCACTCTCTAGCCCATCCTGACTTGGAATTTGCTGCAGTTTTCCTGTCTGAGCATCTTGAGTGCTGGGATTACAGATGTGAGCCATCACACCCAGCTTAATAGCAAATGAGTTCTAATGAGGCTTGTTCTCTCGACTACCTTATTATTATCATGTGTAGTTTACAGATTAGGGGGCTGAAAGGGTAGAGGTGAGAGCTTAAGTCACTGTCTAGAGAAACAGGTGATTATCGGGGGGGGGGGGAGGGAAGGCAGAGCAGCAGGCTGAAGTGACTCTGAGAGGAGGAGGGATGAACGTCCCCACTTTGTTCAGGGTCTGGGCGGGGGAGTGAAGGTGGACAGAAAGAACATTAAGGTCCCATGCTTGGGCGGCATGGGGCAGTCAGGGTTGGATCAGATCTTGTTGGCTGCAGGTGCATGGAAAGGTGACAGAGGATCTGGAGATGGGCCTTGAATTCCTGATGTCCCATCTCCCAAGTGTGAGGGTCATAGGTCTGTGCCTCTCTGCTGGGCTCTACTTATGCCATCTGGACACCAGCTAGGTGTCATCTGGGCAGCCTGGGCTCCCGATAGCGCCTTAATCTTTCTCATTGTCTAGCCTCAGTTCCTTGCTTGGAGAGCCCTGATGATCAAAGCCAGCCACCCTCTCACCTCTGACCTGTGGCAGCTCCTAGACATGGAGTCTTTGAGGAAAACACACTACCAGAGTAGAGAAAAAGAGACTACCAACACCCCCCTCCACCTCCCCTTCCTTCCCTGGTGCTGGGTTCTGTCCACTGCTGTATCCTCCCTGGAAATGCCTTCTCTGTGCTGGGGTGTGCAGCCAGTGTCACGTTGTCTGCCTCATCCCATCTGATTTACCTCATCTTTGGACAAGAGTCGAGCCAATGTTTTTTTTTTTCCCTAAGTCCCTCCTAAACTTCCCAGCCTCCTGCTCAGCCCCCCTCTTTGTTCAGCCCTAGCCTCTTACCTAACTCCCCTCCACAGTCATTTCTGCTTGCTGGGACCCTGACATCTCCCTGGCTCCAGACACTCACGTCCACACCCCACCATCACCTTCTGTTTCAGACACCTCAGTGCCCCATCGCTGTTAGCCCGTGAGCACATCAGAGGACAGGCTAGCCCTGCTCTCTGCCCTCTCTGCCCTGTACAGAGGAAACACCAAGCAAACAGACACCTAAGTGTCTGGAGAGGGCAGTGGGCAGCTGGGGTTTGAATGGCAAGGAGGACCAAGAGGAAGAAGAGTTCTAGGTAGAGCATCCAGAAAAGTCAAAGATCCCATGGTCACCGTTTACTACCTAGTGAGTTGGAGGCCAGCCTTGATGACTGCCATGAGACTCTGACTCAAAAAGCCAAAAGAGAGGCTGGAGAGATGGCTTAGTGGTTAAGAGCACTGACAGCTCTTCCAGAGGTCCTGAGTTCAATGCCCAACAACCACATGGTGGCTCACAACCATCTGTAATGGGATCTGATGCCCTCTTTTGGTGTGTCTGAAGAAAGTGTACATAAAAATAAAAAAAAAAATGAATCTTAAAAAAAAAAAAAAGCCAAAACAAAGGTACAAGTATGTCTGAGGCCAGATGTTTTCTGAGCCAGGCTGGGGCCTCTCAGGATTCTGCTCCATGTTGAGAGAGTCCTCAGAGAGTCCAGGAAGGGGCTGATGTCCAGCATGAGGCTTAAGGTGGGTAGCTTCAGTTCCTCTAGCTATCCTGTGGGGAAGACTCCCTAACCGATGTCCTTGATAGATACATTGCCAAGACCCATTCACAGCTTTGGGGGTGGGGGTGGGGCATCTCTCTCAGCTCCCAAGGTCAAGGATGGGTCAAGGGCGGTCAAAAACCCTGGTGTAGTGCCCAGGCCTGAACTCTCCCTGCTATTGTAGGTGCTGGGAGCCCTGTTCCTGGCCATTGGTCTCTGGGCCTGGGGTGAGAAGGTAAGAGAGAGGGGCTGCCCGGGGGTGAGGGTGAGGGGAGTCACTCCCTCATACTTGTCTACTCCCTGGTTCAGGGTGTTCTCTCCAACATCTCAGCGCTGACAGATCTAGGCGGTCTTGACCCCGTGTGGCTGTTTGTGGTGGTCGGGGGAGTCATGTCAGTGCTGGGCTTTGCTGGCTGCATCGGGGCCCTCCGGGAAAACACCTTCCTGCTCAAGTTTGTAAGTCTTTCTCTAAGTCTCTGTCTACCCCAGATCCACCAGAGACTCTTAACCTCTTTCCATACAGTTCTTGCCTAGCCAAGGTGACCAGACAAGAAACAGGTAAAACTACGCTGTCTTTTATCAATGGAACACGGTACTGAGGGGCAGGGAACAAGTTCAGCGGTAGAGCACACACTGCAGGGTTGGGAGGGGGCGGCGCTTAAGTGATAGGGGGCGGAGCCTGGAAACTATGGCTCCCTTGCGTCTTGACAGAGGTAGTGGGAGTTCTTCCCTGTCCACAGACGCCATGACTCTCCAATGCTCGCCATCTGTGTGCCCCCCCAACCCAGTTCTCTGTGTTCCTCGGCCTCATCTTCTTCCTGGAGCTGGCGGCGGGGATCCTGGCCTTCGTTTTCAAGGACTGGATCCGAGACCAACTAAATCTCTTCATTAACAACAACGTCAAAGCCTACCGGGATGATATTGACCTTCAGAACCTTATCGACTTTGCTCAGGAATATGTGAGTGTGGCGCCCATCATGGGCCTCGGGCAAAGGGCACCTGATGGACACACAAGAAAGGGAGCAAGTTCTGTGTGTGCACGGACCATTTCCTAACCCACCCAGGCCAGCAGAGGCCAGGGAAGGAACCTTTGAGAGCCCCTGTCCCAGGAGAAGCCAGCTCCTGCTCATTCCCTAGACTTCCTTGTGCCTAGTCCTGTAGAGATACAGGCTTGGGAAACGGTGGCCAGAGGAGGAAACGGTGCATACAATGCAGGTCTGTGCCCAGAGTATCTGCCAGGGCTGCGTTGCTGGTGCTCCCCAACTATGCCCCAGATTTTGTACAGTCTTAATCCTTCAGCCTTCTTCTTTTATTTTGAGCATCACAACTTTGGTTTGGTGACAGATGATTTTGTCCTTGTGCAGATATCAGAGCAAAAGCGACACTTGTTTCATTTATTTATGTGTATAGGTGTTTTGTGTGTGTGTATGTGTGTGCCAAGTGTTTGCCTAGTGCCTGAAGAAGCCAGAACTGGAGTTATAGGCAGTTGTGAGGTGCCATGTTGGTGCTGGGAATTGAACCTGGGTCTTCAGGAAGAGCAGCCAGTGCTCTTAACAACTAATCCATCTCTCCAGCCCCAGTCTGGTTTTTCTTCAAGCATTGTGTATTATCTATGATTGCATATTCTGTACTTAGAGCCTCGGAAAACATCCCCACCTGCACATTCCAGTCCTTATAATCCCTCGGGGCCACACCTCGTGTCACACCAAGTCACCTTCACCAAGATTTGTTTCTGGGGCTCAGCAGTGCCCCGAAGCTGTGCAGGGCAGAGGCAGTCCTGTAGCCTGTAGCTCCGGTGTGCTTCCTTTCTCTATTCAGTATGGAATTGGGACAGGCCCGGCATACGCCAGGCCCTGAGCCAGGTGCGGGGAGATTCGGTGTTTTTAACATGTGCAGCCAGTTCCCTTCGTGATGGCGGTGTGCTGGGGAGAGGATGCTAAGCATATAAAATAGGGCTGGGGGAGGGGCGCGGGGAGGCAGGAGGAGCGGACACACTGTGAGGAGGGCTGAAATGGAGCCTCTGAATGGTGACCTTGTCGACTCCGTGAGGAGAGGAAGGAATTGGTGAGGGGTGTAAGGAACAGGATGGCTCCCCAGCAGGGACCGCAGGCACTTAACAGGTGCTGGCTCAGCTGTGTCTGAGACCTGCACACACAAACCACATGGCCAGGCGTCAAGCCCCCGGCTGTGCTTACAGGGTCTGTGTCTACGACCAGAGCCGTCTCGTGCTCATCCAAGAGCGTTTGCAACCCACACGACCGTCTCCTCAGCAGCTGGTGTAGCTCACTTAGGGCTCTGCAGTCACAGGCTCTTGCACCGCAGACTTGGGGTTGCCATGGCCACATCTGGCAAGACAAGCAAGCACTCTCCCCTCTGGAGAGGGGAACTGGGGCTCCAACATGATGCCAGCAGGCGTTTGTGGAGTGGACGGGGATGGAAAAGGGGCAGGAGGGCAAATCTGGCTGGGCTTCCTCTCCTGTCCCCTCAGGGAAGTCCATGAGGAAGCCACAACCTCCACTCAGTGTCTCACCTCTGGGGTCTCCACTCTGATTCCTATGAGCTCAGGCCTATTGCTGGGGGGTGTGGGTGGGGGGTCCCTCCTTCCCAGCCAGCTTGCTCCTTAGGGTGAGGCTCTAGGGTTGGGCCTGGTTGCCAGCTGTTCACTCTGGACTCTTCTCTCCCCCTAGTGGTCTTGCTGTGGAGCCCGAGGGCCCAATGACTGGAACCTCAATATCTACTTCAACTGCACTGACTTGAACCCAAGCCGCGAGCGCTGTGGGGTGCCCTTTTCCTGCTGTGTTAGGGACCCTGCGGTGAGTGGCGCCCTGGGAGGAGGTAGGATCCCTTAGCGGTGGGAGGTGCATGCCAGTGTGCTCTGGTGTCTATGAGAGAACGGAGAAGTCTGGGGTTTCACTGCCGATGAGTGGGCGTGGTAAAACCCAAGCTTCCGTTTGCTCTTCTGTGAAGGAGGGGCATTGGACTTGAGGATCTGGGTGAGCTCAAGGGTGTTCCCTTAGCATATTGCTAATGGCCTGTCTCCCCCTCAGGAAGATGTCCTCAATACCCAGTGTGGCTATGACATCCGACTCAAACTGGTGAGAGGGATGAGGACAGGGTTGAGGGTAGCCTGGAATACAGGAGGTGACATGGGAACCTCTCATAAGCTCCCACGGAAGGTCTAAGGGCTTCTGTGGAGTGGAACTGGCCCTGGGTGGGTTTGAGGTATTGGATTGCTCATCCCTCTCTGAGGAGCATATGCTGTGGTTGGCATCACTCGAGACCTTGGTTGATAGAGAGATAATACATCAATTTTACACTCAGGGAGCAGAAAGAGAAAACCATGAAATTATAGACACATTAAATGTCTTAAGACAGCTCAGCTGAGAACTTAGAAGGTTAATAGGTAGGGTCTGAGTCAGGGAAAGCCTCTTCAGAGCAGAAAGCCAGGCTAAAACCCAGAGAAGAAGCCTTCTGTGCAAAGGCCCTGTGGCAGAATTCCAAGGAGCAGTTGGGGAGGACACTGGAGCAGGGATGGGCTCGGCAAGGTGGAGGGGGCGGGGGATCTGAGCTGAGGCAGGCAGGCTGAGGCAGGCAGGCTGAGGCAGGCAGGCTGAGCCTGGTCCATGTCTCCTCAGGAGCTTGAGCAGCAAGGCTCCATCTACACCAAAGGCTGTGTGGGCCAGTTTGAGAAATGGCTGCAAGACAACCTGATTGTGGTGGCCGGGGTCTTGGTGGGCATAGCCCTCCTCCAGGTACCAGCCTTGGCTTGCACACCCTCCTCCCGCCTGACGCTCTCTGCTCTTCCTCACCTCTCTCTCTCTCTCTCTCTCTCTCTCTCTCTCTCTCTCTCTTACAGATATTTGGCATCTGCTTGGCCCAGAACCTCATGAGTGACATCAAGGCAGTGAAGGCCAACTGGTGAGGCTGCCAGGGGTGACGGCCACATGCCTGACCCACAGAGCTCTAGTGGGGGCCTCCTAGGACACTCTGCCTCACTCACAATGGCAAGGCCTGTGGGACATCTGTTATGACCTGGCTTTGTGAGCATGGTGCTCATTACTGCCCCCCACCCACCCACAAAGCCAGTGGGGCTGGACTGGGGCTGTTTGCCACAGAGCTCTGTGTGTGGGGTGTGTACCTGTGTGTGTGTGCAAGCACACTCATAAGTACACCTGGAGTCTCTGCCCCACTGCTGTGAGGCAGTGGCCCTTCTAGAGCTCTAGGGGAGATGGAGGGTAGGGCATGCACCTGTGTCCCCTGGTCTACTGTGGGATGTATCTGTGTGGCTTAGGAGCCTGCTGTCTCAGACCTCTCCATACTCACCATGACCTCGAGCCTGCCCAGAGCTCGCCTTGGCCTCAGTGTCACAGCCTTTGAAATGGGTCCAAGAATCCTCTCTCTCGCTTGCCTCTCAGGATCACACACGGTGATGGCTACAAACGACTCAATAAATAACACTTTGAAAAACAGTGGCTTATGTTCACCATCCTCGAAGGTTCTGTTGTCAGCATGGCCTCTACAGAGCTCTCCAGTGAGGACCCTGGCCTGAATCCAACCAAGGCCTTGTAGGTCTGGGTAGACTATGCACTTGAGACAGCCTTTCAAATGGGTATATTGCCTTAAAGGTGACATCTCCTGTTCCTCCTGGGTATGGCTGTGTTAGGGTCATCTACAACGGGACACAGAGGCACCTCACCTGGTCTGTTCTATGTACCTGACTCCTAGTTTCTGAAAGTTGACCTTTCTGACCTCTGTGGGTTGTTCCTGGCATACACCTTAAGGCTGTTATATCTCCACTTCAAGAAAGGCATAAAGATCTGAAGAACAGGGTTCTGGAGATCATCCCTACGAAGGTACAGCTTGGTGGATGTCAGAATGTCCATATAGTGGCTGAGTGCTGGGAACAGGGATTGTACTCAGGGAATGCCTGGTATCTGTGAGGGGAATCTGTTTTGAGGTCGGTCAATGATTGGTTCAAAAACTTCGATCCCTGCAGTTCCGCCTTGTGACCACCAGAGGGCACATGAGTACCACATTCTCTTCTGCTGATTTTCCTCACAACCTCACCTCAGTACCTTCTGGCTTACCAGGGGTGGCTTGCAAACTTCTAAAGAAGCAGAGCAGCTCAGGCTTGGACAGTCTAGCTGCCCAAAGGGACAGTATGTGTCAAATGACTCTTCCCTAACCCTTCCCTGCGCTGGGCAAATGGAGGGGTGGGCTGGTTCAAAGGTCGCTGCTCTGGTACGATGTTTCCTCAGTGAGTTACAAGAGTGGAGTAGAGAGTGAGACCTGTTTTGTTTTGGCATCCACTGGTACTGGAGACCAGACAGAGGAAGGCAGGGGTTCTGTGATGAGATATCTGTGCAGTTCGGGTGAGGGTAATGACTTGCTTGGGAGGTCAGGAGAGCATGGTAGGAATTGTATCGAGACAGGGCCTCACCCACGGGTGCTGACTGCTGTTCAGTTGTAGCTGATTGCAGTGGTGCAGGAATGCAGGGCCAACACCAGAAATCTTAGAGAAGCTGGGAGTCTGAATGCTGTTGGAAGACAGCCAGATTTTAACTCAAACCTGCAGGCAGCACGAAGAGTCCTGGGTCCAGCTTCAGCTCCCGTGTCACTCACAGTGGCCCTGACTACTCAGCTGGATGGGGGTGCTGGGAGCTGGCTGGGCACCTGATAGCCTTGCCCCCGGCACAGGCTGGGCAGAGCTGGTTTGTACACTGTAATAAATACAGCTCCGAAAGTGTTACTTTTCTCATTTCAAATGGCTACATCTCCCCACCCCCCAAGCACACAACACCCTTGTGAGTTACAGTTTCTTTTTCTGATGAGGAAACGGATTCAGAGAAGGGTGGGAGGCCGCCTGAAGCACAGGAGGCACACAGATGCTACCACCCCCTCGTGCTAGAGTTTGGCGCGCTACACACGTCTTCTTGATAGGTCTGGTGGAACCTGTGTACTGAACTAGCAACCAGTGTAGGGTGTCAAGTCATCATTCCCTAAAGTGAGATCAGAATCTTGTTAGGTGCTAGTGACACAGGAGAGAGAAACGAAGTCCCCACCCCGCACTGCCTCCTCATGGCAGAGACAGATGGCGAGGAGGCAAGCGTTTTTGTTGGTAATATGTGCTGTGGAGAGGATGACTGACAGCTGGAGAGCCTGGGAGGAGGGCTGGGAAGGGCGCCGTCTCCGAGGGACCGGGATCTAGGTTCTGGCATCAGCTTTGTTTGGTAGGATCTCCAAAGCTGCTTGGTGTGGGGGAGCTGGGATGGCTGCACAGGTGACGTGGGTGAAGAGCAGGGAGCATGGGCATGGAACGTGAAGGCGCCACGATATTGATGACATGGTGTAGGAGTGGGGACCTGAGCCAGACCCAGAGTTCTCCAAAGATCATCCTGCTACAGGAGCTCCAGTTTCCCACCCACTCCTTCGTGTCATCTGTCTGTTCATCTGCCTTCCATGGACCCCCTGCCCCAACCTGCCCACCACTGCTTATCACAAACACACCACCACCCACACAGAGGCAGAGCCAGAGACTGGGGTTTCTAAGGCAGAGGCAGGCGGGGAGCAGTCGTTAGTATCGTGAGGATATGCTGAGAGGCACGTGATTATCACTCTGTCAACTTCTTGTTCCGACAAGATGCCTGGGAAAAATCAAGGGAAGAAAGGTTTCTTTTGGCTCACGGTTTCACGGGATCTGGTTCAGTGTTGCTTGGCTCCATCCTCTGGGCTGTAGTGAGGTAAGACACAGTGCTAGGAGAGTGTGGGAAAACATAGCTGCTAAACTAGCGGCAGCCAGACAGCATAAGGGGAGGGGCTTGAGGTAAGGCATACCTGCCGGAGGCTTGCCCCAGGACCCACTCCCTCTAGCCACCCCTCCCTTACCATCACCTCTCATCATTATGAAGCCATCCATGGGTTAATCCGTCAATGAGGCCAGGGTCCTCATGAGCCTGTCATTTCCCAGAGGCCTCACCTCTGTACACTGCTCCGTAAGAACGAAGCCTTCAGATGCAGGAGCCTTTGGGAGGCTTGTTCAGATCTAAACCATAAAGCACTTCTTGGTTACTCTGGGGTTGACTAGAGTTCCACTTCCCACAACAGCTCACGGAGCGGCGCCCCCTGTACCATGTGGTCCTCACCCACAGAGCTGCCTTCTCAGATATGCAGAAAACACGAGGGAACAGGGAGGGCTTGCATCCTGCATCCCTCTAGGTGGGTCCTGGTCCATAGGGAGCAAGGCCACCTTCCTACTCTGTTAGGGTGCAGTATACATGCCAAACTGGATGTCTGCAGAGACCTGGGGCAGGTAGAGAAGTTGCTGTGACTCCCAATTACCCCAGGGGAGGATGTGAGTGGGGACCTGGAAGGGGCCTTGCCCAAGCTGACAAGCTTCTGCATTTCTGGTAAGTTAATCAAATAGGATTGAATGAAGGTGTCCTAGGCAACTAAGTCTTATGTTCCTTGGTGGCAGTCTCTCCAAATGACCACCAGAGGGCAGCAAAGTGCAACACATGCAGCATAACCCATCAACCAGGAGACAAGTGGTTCCTTCAAATAAGCTAGGTATGTCAATATTTCAGAGACATAAAGGCTCACCCTACTGGTGCTAGGTTCAGGCTTTGCTATCCTCTTCGTTATCTCCTCCAGGGACTCGAGTAAATGAGGCCCCCAGGGACGTCTCTGCCAGTGCTCAAGAAGACTGTACAGTGATAGCTGCCAGACAGAGCTGGAGAATGTGACAGTAATGGTGTGTGTGTGTGTGTGTGTGTGTGTGTGTGTGTTTCACATTCTTTAGTAGGCTGAAGCAACAGGCTCTGTATTCACCTCCATCTGTTCAGGTAGGTTTGCTAAGCACCTACTGTGTGCTGACAGTGTTCTCAGTACTCGGAATACAAAAGGGAAGAGATATCCCACATTCCCATGGAGATGTCCAGACCTGAGGTCAGCTGACTTTGTCTGCATGGAGCCAAATATCCTGAGCCAGAGTCACAGAGCCACACAGGTGCTCAGTTCCGCCTTCATGGCAGAAAGCAGCTCGAGACAGGATGTAAACAAGTAGCCATGGCCGGGTTCCAGGGACATGATCTGCCGATGCAGAAACTGGAATCTGATCTAAGTTTCAGCTGTCATAAATCTTTGGCTTTCTTTTGATTTCTTCACCATTAAAACAGAAAATTATCTTTAGCTCTGGAGCCTGGTCAAAACAGGCTACAGATTAGATTTGCCTCACAGGCTGGGATTTTTCTGTCCCTCGGTCTGAGGATGTGGACAAAGCATCACCACCAGAAACCAAACTGTGGGAGCCACAGACAGAGCTGGTGGGTGGGAGGGCAGGGGCTAGCCTCAATGAGTGGGAATGCAGGGGCTAGCCTTGGTACTTGCATAGCATGCATGAAGCCTTGGGTTTCCTCCCCAGTACCAATAAAGATGTGTACCGGTCAGAGCGGGCCTCTGTGTGAAGGCGAGATGTAGCAAAGGCTTTTTAATTTTAAGGTATTTTTGATAGCACTGGTAATACAGAGACTCATTTTAGCTAAAACAACAACAATGAACAAAGTGATGAGACTGAAGTCTCTTTAGGTGGCCCTCTGTTCTCCTCCAGCCCTACATCCCGAGGGTGTGCGTTCCTCCCTCAGGAATTGCGACATATCAATGGTGCTCAAGCCCCTGTATAAAATGGCGGTATCTGCATAGAGCCTGTAGATATTCTCTTTGATTCTTTCTTTTCTTTTTAAATGTGTCTGGGTGTTTTTGCCTGAGTGTATCTATGTGCCTAGTATCTGCAGAGGCCAGGAGAGGGTGTCAAATTCCTCTGGGACTGGAGTTACAGACAGTTGTAAGCCACCACATAAGTGCTGGGAATTGAACCCGGGTCCCTACAAGAGGAGCCAGTGCTTAGTTTAGTTTAACGGATACACAAAGGCATAAAATTGTATACATTAGTGGAATACTATGTAATGTTTAAAATTTATTAGATTTTCAATTTTTTTTTTTAATGTGTGAGTGTTTTGCCTCGTGTGTGTCTGTGCACCGTGTATGTGCTTGCTGTCTGTGGTAGACTGAGGAGAGCATTGGATCTCCTGGAATTGCAGTTACAGAGAGTTGTGAACCACCATGTGGGTACTGGGTCCTCTGCAAGACCAACAAGTGCTCTTGGTCTGCTCAGCCACAGTGTGTTGATGTGTGTGTACAATACACTGAATAATTAAGGATTAGTGTGCCTATTTCTTTAAATGTTTGTCATTTCATTATGCTGAAATTTTCAAAGTCCTTTTTGCTAAGTTTAAAAAAATATTCTCGTGTGTGTGTGTGTGTGTACCCACCTCCGAGTGCCCAAAAGGGCCAGAAGAGAGTAGCAGATTCTCTGGAGTGTAGTTACGGGTGGTGAGATGCCCAGCGCAGATGCCCTGGCTGAGACTCGTTTTGTAGACCAGGCTGGCCTCGAACTAAGAGCTCCACCTGCCTCTGC